CACATTTTGTTGTAATATTTGGCTTTATCTTCTTGAGCTGATCTTTGCAATTTTCTGTTCAGCTCTTGTACCTCCTCATTTCTTCCATTTGCTTTAGCTTTATGCTGGAGAGCAAGTTTCAGTGTCTCTTCTGACATCCATTTTGACCTTTTCTTTCTTTCTTGTCTTCTTAATGACTTTTTGCTTTCGTCCTATATGATGTTCTTGATGTCATCCCACAACTCTTCTAGTCTTCGGTCTTTAGTGTTTAATGTATGAAATCTGATATTCAGATCTCTAAATTCAGGTGGGATATATTCAAGGTCATATTTTGGCTCTCGTGGACTTGGTTTCATTTTCTTCAGCTTCAGTTTGTTTTTATTGCTGTTAAGTGCCATCGAGTCAGCTCCGACCAATAGCGACCCTGTGTAGGGTTTCCGAGGAGCAGCTGGTGAGCTTGAACCACTGACCTTGTAGTTCAAACAGCTTTGCAGTATGGCACATTAACCCACAGTGCCATACCAGGATTCCTCAGCTTTAGTTTAAGAACTCAAAATTGTTTGTCAAATGAATGAATAGACTCTGAATTGGATTATCCCCATTTGATAGATTAGAAAACTGAGGTGATAGAGATGCTAAGTGAATTGCCCAAGGGCACACAGTTCACTTACTCACCCGACCTGTCAACATCTAAGGAGCACCTTCTGCTTTCCAGGCCAATTGTTAGAGCACAAAGGCATTGGGGTCATTAGCTTTTTAAGGGAACACTATTTCTTTGTTCTTGCTGTTGCATCTACTTGCAAAGATTTCTCCTACATTCTCACCTATTAAAATTCAATTTATCTCCAGTGCTTTTCCAGCGTTGGTGGAGGCAGTTGTCATGACTGACTACAAAAGGGACCCACAGGTAAATGTTTAGGGCAATGGAACTGTTCTGTATGGTACTGGAGTAGTGGATTCATGATTCTATACATTTCTCCAAACCCAACAAACTATACATTACAAAAGTAAACCCCAATGCCTGCCAACTCCAAAACAACTCAATCCATTCCTCAAAGCTCTGATACTTACAGACTTAATTCACACACACAAGACTGAGGGTGGGGGACGAGGAGACAAGATTAAGAGTACCCTTCTCTATCTCTGCATGACTCATGCTTTTTCTTTGGCTCCTCTCAGCGTTTCCCATTCCTTGGCCCTGGGCATCATCCCTCAGGCCTCAAGGTCAAGTCTGGACTTTGCACCTGGACTTTCAAAAATCAGGATTTTGAGGGAATTGTAGATTAACATGCAGTTGTGTGAAATAATCCAGAAGAGTCTGTGCACCTTTCCCCCAATGGTGACAGCTTACATGTCAGATAGTGTAACACTATGGCCAGGAGACTGACATTACCACCGGCTCCCCCATGTCCAGATTTCACTAGGTTTACAAGTGCTCATTTAACTCAGTGCAATTCTATCTCATTCTACCCCATGTAGATTCAATGACCACCAGCTTCTACAGAATAGTTCCATCACACAGCTCTCACCTGAACTTTAATAATCAGTAGTGTGCTATCTTGATGTTTCTCAAAGTCAGCCTTGAGGTACCTCAGAGTCGTCTGAGCTGCTTATTAAATGTACAGATTCCTGAACCCTCCCCATTTATCCTCTCCTCTCCCAATGAACCAGCCCCTGTGGGATGGCTACTGGGAATTGGTACTTTGAACAGATGTTGTAAATGGCCTCCAACTCTTGCATCTCCAGTTTACCCCCAACATTGTGGCCACCAGAGAGCTCCTTCTAAAACACAGCTACAACCATGCTATTCTGCTTAAAACCCTGTGGAAGCACCCACTGCCCTCAGGGGAGAGACATAGCAAGAAAAGTCCTCTGGGGCAGGCCCCACATCCCTATCCTCTACTCACCTCACCACAAACCAACCAGTTTCCAGGATAGTTGATTCTGATTCACAATGACCTCATGTGTATCTAAGTAGAACTGTGCCCATAACATTTTCAGTGGTTAATTTCTATAGAAGTAGATTGCTGGCCTTTTTTACCCCTACATATCTAAGACTAGAAGCTCCCACCTTTTGGTTAGCAGCAGAATGTTTGCACCATCCAGGATTTCTCTCCCCAACACAGACACACACAAACTAGTTGTCATCAAGTTGATTCTGACTCATTGCGGTTCCATGTATTTCAGAGTAGAACTGTGCAAGGGTTTTCAATGGGCTGAAAACTTTCAGAAGCAGGAATTCGATCACTGTATCTTTTCTTCTGAGGCATCTCTGGGTGGATTCCACCACCAACCTTTCCGTTAGTAGCCAAATGCCTGTGTTTTTATGACTCTAAATTCCTCTGACTATTAGAACACATCATGGTCTGAGTTGCTTTATGCTGTTTCTTCTCTTTGGAAAGTACTTCCAATATTCTCAGCTTGTTGACACCCTACTGAGCCACCCAGTTTTACACAAGGAAGTTGAGAAAGGTTAAGGTGTCACCCAGGAAGTAAAGGCAAGGCCAGCCAGGCCCAATCCACCCTAGTTTTATCCGGACTCCTGGTCTTACTGTTCACCAAGCTGTCATGGTGGCCGCAAGGGGTGGCTGTGTTTCCAGGCTATTTGCTCACCTTCACATGGGCGTGACTACCCACCTGCCTCTCCTGGCCTGGTTCACCTTTTTCTTCCTCTCTCAGCTGGGAATCCCGGCCCTGAGAGGAGGGAGAAAGGAAAACGGGATTAGACTCAGGGTGTAACCTGACTCCCCAATGGGTCTGCTGTGGTGTGCCAAGGGGCGAGGGGGCATGGAACAAGTCTCCAGGGGCCCGTTTAAGCCAGAACAGGCAATGGGGGCTCCTGGAGGGAGGGAAGGAGAGGAGCAGAGTCCAAGTCCTCTCTTCTGCTGCCCCCTCCCTCCACAGCTCCTCGCAACCCGAGCCGGGGGGCCTAAAAATAGCCCCCGAGGCGCAACCGCCCGGCCGCCCTGGTGACCTTCTGGGTAGCACAGGCCGAAGGCGGGCGGGCGGCAGGAAGGCAAGGCGCCGGCCCCCCAGGACTCATCTCTCAGGGCACCATCCCCCGGGGGTCCCCCGTGGCCACCAGGTTCCAGCGTCCTCTCAGTCCAGCTTGCAGAAGCCATGCAGAAAGCCCGGGGCACGCGAGGCGAGGGTGTGGGTTCGAGTGCACCCTCCAGCCCCGGGGTGCCTCCGAAGAGGGTCAAGGTGGGGGCCAGCGGAGGGGCCCCTGCAGTGGCGCCTGGGGCGCCGGTCTTCCTGAGGCCCTTGAAAAACGTGGCGGTGCTCTCAGGCAGCGACGTGAGACTGCGGGTGGTGGTGAGCGGGACACCTCAGCCCAGCCTCAGCTGGTTCCGGGACGGGCAGCTCTTGCCCCCGCCAGCCCCGGAGCCCGGTTGCCTGTGGCTGCGGAGCTGCGGGCCGCGGGACGCCGGCGTGTACAGCTGCAGGGCCCAGAACGCGCGGGGCGAGGCCTCCTGTGAGGCTGTTGTCACAGTGCTGGAGGTTGGAGGTAATGGAGAGGTGGGGGACAGCCTGGGGGTGGGAGTGCTTCAGGTGAGGAGGGCCCCCAGGACACTGGAAGAAACCCTGTTCATCCACGCCTTCTTCCAGGTACCCTAGCTTCTTAGTACAAGAGAAGTGGGTGTTAAGTAGATAGGCTCCCTAGGAGAGGGTTGGAGGTCATGGTCAGCACTAGGTAAGCAAAGCCCTCCCACTCAGGTCTCCCTGGACAGTCCACGGTGGACACTCTCAAGTTGCCTGCAAAGAGTGGTCTCTTGGGGAATGTCATCTTTTCCAGCTCTGATGTGGTTTACACTTGTGATTGCCAGTCAGGGGGAGGACAGTTCTGGTTCTGACCAGGTTGTTGAGGGTCCAAGCTCCTGGCAGTCTATGACAGTGGCAGGGTTGGTATGGTCACCACCAAGCTGACTGGAAGAAACCAGTGAAAGGTGGGGAGAAAAGCAAGTAGCAACAGGGTGAGAGGGTCAAGAGGAGAGCTGGGTTTAGGGGTTCTGTGGGCTGTATGGAACAGGGTGGGGTGGGGTGCAGGGGGTCGTGGAGGGATCTGGACCAGGTTATGGTGGAGCAGCACATGAGGGACAGGGTTTGTGCAGGAAGCTCATGGGCCATGTCCACTGAGGTTCGAGAGTGGACGTTTAGAGGGTAGGGAAGGGGGATGCTCACTATCTGATACTTGGGGCCTTGACCATGTGGAGGTGGAGTTGCAGGTTCATATTCATCAATTCATGAAAAGGAGATAGTCACAGTCTGGGGCACAGGAGGAACAACATGAGTCTGGGTCCTGTCATCATGGGTGCCAAGCCAGGGACAGTTCTCCTTGGGCCCATTTTTATTTCACCAGCCCCTAAGCTAACCAAATGGTTCTTTGCTAGATTAAAGAGAGAGCCTTGAGGAACAGCAGTTGGAGGAAGTCTTAGTTATCTTGCTCCGTTCTAACAGAAATAACACGTGTAGGTGGCTTTCATAAACAGAAATGTATTCTCTCGCAGTTTAGGAGACTTCTTAAGTCCTGCTCACAATTGCTGCTATCTTTGAGCCCATGGCTGCAACCACTTTGTCAATCCATGTCCTTGAAGGCCTTCTTTTTTTCACTGATTGCCTGCTTTACCAAGCATGATATTCATCTCCAAATACAGAGTGCCAGTTGTAGGAGAAGGCTTTTTCTCTGGGTCAGCTCTGTGGGAAGGTCTCCTTTCAACATCTGTGGGCCTAGCGTCCCTTGGAAATTTCCATGTGTCTCTGCATCAGTCTTCCCATGGGTCTAGGAGGTTCTCAATGCAGGGACCCTGGGCCCAAAGGACCTGATATGCTCCCAACTCTTATTTCCTAGTGATAGTCAGGCTCCTCCTTCCCAGTTCACGTTCTTCATTTATTTCTCATAAGATAAAAGCAATGTAGACCATACCCCCAAGGAAACACCCTTACATCAGATCAGGGCTGTGATCTGAGTGAGGGTATTGCATCCCATCCTAACACCCATATAACTGATTGGCTGATCATATCAGATCACATCATGGGGGACAATTACATCATTACATTATTTCCAAATTATGTCATTACATACCTGCCAAACCACTAAGATTCATGGCCCAGGCAAATGGACACATATATTGGGGGGATACAATTCATGAAAAGCAGTATACTGTACTTGTAGGAACCCTGGTGACACAATGGCTAAGTGATTATTGACTGCTAACCAAAAGGTCACTGGTTTGAACCCACCAGTCACTCTAGGGGAGAAAGATGTGCCAGTTTGCTTCTGTAAAGATTTACAGCCTTTGAACCCCTGTGGGACAGTTCTACTCTATTGTATGGGGTTGCTCCAAGTTGGAACTCACTCACTCAATGACAATGGATTTGCTTTTTTTGTTAAGCTACAGTTGGGGGAGCTGGCAAAGAGCTAAGGGGCCATTGAATCTGTGTTGGGCACTTCAAGCCATCCAGAAAAGGATCTCCAGGTGGCTAATGAGAAGATGAATTGCCCACTCCAACTGAGTGGTGTTGTCTCGGGGTAACTTCTCGGGGGCTGGGAAAGAGGTACAGAAAAGGACCTCAGCAACTGGAGGGGAAACCAGGTCAGGAGATGAAGCCAGGGCTGGTTTCCTTCCGGGAGCATCTCTCCTCTCCCCTTAGCTCACCCAGTCCACTTCCTAGAGTAACCAATGACTGAGAGGGACAGAGAGGGAAAAGGATGACTTCTTCTGGTTGGCCAGCACCTGTCCAGGCACAGGCTCCCCCAGTCTGGAGGTAGGACCAGGGGGTGGAGCACATCCTCTGGTCTAGGAAAAAAGTAGACCTTTGGGGGGATCTTAGCTCTGGGTCTCTCAGGGACACCCAAAGATTGGAAGTTTGAGGGTACCCAAAGGCATTTTAGAAGAAAGGGCTAGAGATCTGCTCCCCAAAATCAGCTAGTGCAGACCCTGTGGAACAGAATTCCATTCCAGCGATAGTAACTGGTACTGGTTCTTTCCTCGGGACCCGGACCCTCCAGAGACAAAGAGGGCTGGAAATACAGAATGAATGTAGGGACGAGATAAGTCCATTGAAAACTAGGAGACAGAGATTAGGGAAGGGAAGAGGTGAAAAGGAGAGTGGTGGTCTCCTGCTGCTGAGACCGCTTCCTTTATAGAAGAGGAAACCATGGCCCAGAGAGGAGGGAGGCCTGCCTACAGACATACAACCAGTTATGGCCAGCCCTGAACTCACAACCTAGCCCTCCTGCTTTGGGCTCTGGGTGATTTTTACTACTCCTAAGAAGTTTGGGAGGAAGAAGGAACAGGCAGAGGAAAAAGGTAGCTGTCCAACGTGTGGGGAGCAACTGCTACAAGATGGGCCTAGGCCTGGCCTTTCTGAGCCTCCCTAAGTGGTGAGAGTAGTGGGGTGCTAGAGACCCCAACAGGGGAGGGTCCTCAGCTTCCTCTGTAATGTGGGTGGCATGGTCAGCAGAGCTGAACTCTGGCTGGGTACCAAGACAAAGGCTGGGGGGACAGTCTTCAAGCCAAGCTACCCTGCTGTAACAGTAAGCTTGAGAGACTTGGCGTGCTGTGGGTCCCTAGGAGCTGGAGACTGGATTTGGGGCATTTGGTTTCATGTTAAAACAGAATACCTGTGATTTGGGTCACTTGTGAGTGGGAAGAACGTTGGGTTTCAGCAAGCCACATTGGAGAATGCTTTCCTAGCAGTGAAACCTTTACCCCAAGAACAGCCTGATTATTATTAATTGGTAATATTCTTAATAGTAATTTATAATAATACAAATGACTACTATGTGGCAGGCATTATGCTTGTACTTACCATGATTTGATCTATCGTTTAAGATTCACAGCAACTCTGGTAAATTGAGGCCCAGAGGGATTAAGTGACTTGTCTTAGTTGTACAATGGTTGGCATAAGTGATTAGCCAAAAGGTTGGCTATTTGAACCCACCTGGAGGTACCCAGGAAGACAGACCTGGCGATCTGCTTCTGAAAGGTCACAGCTTTGAAAACCCCATGGAAACCCTCTGTACATATGAGTCGGAATTAACTCCATGGCAACTAACAGCAGTTGTACAGATAGAAGGTTCCAGAGTGGAGAGGGAGCCTTGGTCTGTCTCCCTTGCTTAATGACCATGCCCCTCCCACTAGGTCTGGGATGGGGAGGGGCTTTACTTTGGTGATGCTTCCTCCTCTCTCCCAACCTTTCCCCTTGACTGGTCCTGGCCAGGCAGCTCAGCATTGCTCAGTTACTCATGGAAAACTTGCTTGGTTGGAATCCATAGCAGGAGGACTTTAGAGTTCTTGAGGAAGCCAAGCAAGAAGCTGGCTACGGAGGGAAGGAAGCAGTTTCCTGGCTGGGACTGCTCTCTGGCTCCGTGGTATGGTGCGATGCTAAGGTTCCTGGCACTCCAGAGACCTGAGATGCTAGCTCAAGGATAGAGGGAGACTTACATGGCTCTGGAGGTTGGGGCTGAGAAGTTGGGGGGCGGGGGTGGTGGTAGTGCAGGCTGGGGAGTATGGAAAATGAGAACAGGATAAAGTCATGTGATGTAGAAATGAAGGATATTTGTAGGATCCTTGACATGTGTAAAGCATTTTCTTTTATCCTATCATATTTAATCAGGAGCTTTGGTGGCACTGTGGGTTAAATGTTGGGTTGCTAAACTGGAAGTTGAGTGGTTCGAACCCAGCAGTCACTACACAGGAGAAAGATGAAGCTGTTTGCTCCCATAAAGATTTACAGTCTCAGAGACCCTATGGAGAAGTCCTCAGGGTTACCAATGAGTCTGAAGCAGCTCAACACAATGGGTATGATTTCGGGTTTTATCCCATTTAAGTCATTTAACCTCCTAAGCCCCAGATTATATTATGATCATTATACATGTAAGAAAACTGGGGCTCAAAGAGGAAATGTGCCCAAGGTCACATGACTAATGAGGTAGCAGAGCCAGCACTGTAAGCCAGGTCTTTGAGTCTGGTCTACATCATCCCTTCTGGGCAGAAAGAGCATGGGAGAATGGAGCTAAGATCGGTAACCATAACCACTTCTCCCCATCAGAATCCTCAGATCCATCTCCTGGTCTAGTCTCAAGACAGGCCACTGCTTTCCTTTGAAGACATCACGATCCCACTTGCACCAATTGAGGGGTCACATGCAAATCAAGTGACCAGAGCAAGCACTGCCCTCAAGGCTTAAGGTGTGTGTGTGTGTGTGTGTGTGTGTGTGTGTGACTGGAGTCGAAGGCCTGCCCTAAACAGCCGAGAGGAAGGGCACGTTGATGATGCTTACCGAGGTGTTGACTGTTTGTTGATGGTGGTTTCGTGCTGTGGAGTCGGTTCCAACTCATAGTGACCCTGTACAGGGTTTCCAAGGCTGTAAATCTTTATGGGAGCAAAAAGCCTCATCTGTCTCCCATAGAGCAGCTGGTAGTTTCGAACTGCTGACCTTGTAGTTTGCAGCCTGATTCATAACCACGATGCTAAATCAGGATCTGGAAGACTCTGGTGTTAA